ATCGCTCATTCTTGGTCTGGTCGTCGGACAGAGTGCATCGCAAAAAGCACATGTGGTAGAGATCCTGACCCAAGTCAAGAAGAAGAGGAAAAGAGTGAGTCGGAGCACCGACGAAGAAGAAGAGGAAAAGAGTGAGTCGGAGCACCGACGAAGAAGAAGAGGAAAAGAGTGAGTCGGAGCACCGACGAAGAAGAGAAGTAGAGAGATGGTACGTTGCGCAGGATGCGGGTCGTCCCGCCACCCGCATGAAGAATGTTTCGCGTGGAACAGTGCGTGCCATTACTGTCGCCAACCCGGACATTTCGTCAACCATTGCCCGCGCCTGACGAATCAAGTGTGCTACAGATGCCAGGAAAGAGGGAACTGGCAGCAACACTGCACGAAGGAGAGAAGACCCAGGCAACAGCAACAAGCAGAGCAACAACAGCCAGCTGAGCAGCAACAAGCAGAGCAACAACAGCCAGCAGAGCAGCAACAAGCAGAGCAACAACAGCCGGCAGAGCAACAACAGCAATCTCTGCAGCAACAACAGCAGGCAGCCCAACAAGCGGCCCAACAGCGCCAACAACAACAGGTCGTGCAACAAGTAGAGAGAGCAGCAGGCCGAGCTAGCGGTCCGGCAGAGACAGAGACAAATGGTCGCTCCCGAGCTGCAGGGATTCTTCGCGAGTCGCTCAGCAGAACATCGACGCCGACAGGAAGAGGAAGCAGCGAGGAGGTCTCCCGACCATCCGTATATTCCGATGAACGAAGTAGAGAGGCGACTGGAGATCGAAGACGAGGCTCTAAGAAGGGAGTGGAAGTGCTGATCGGGAGATCAGCGCGGTAGCGTGGTCGAATGTCGTGCGTGGATTGATTATCACGCTAGAGGGCGCCAGAGTCGAGCGTTAGAGAGACGATCTGCGGCCGATCGCGCGAGAATTTAGTGACGGCGGCATCAATGACGTCAGAACTTGAAGTAGAGAGAGATTCATTCGAGCGCAAGCAATCGTGAAGGGTAGTTGTAGGTGTGTGCCAGAGTGACTAGCCGACTAAGTTCAATAAACTCTATTCAACACCAGTTCGTGACATCTGTGTTGCCCACGTAGAGACTAAGCGACATTACAGATGAAGAGAACTTCCGAGGCGGTCACGGAATCCATCGCACACCTTTTTTCGCGCAGTAAATTGCCAGCGGTCGAAAAACGTCTCTCCGGCTCAGCTGAGGTCGCTGGTATTGATAGGAGGACCCGTGCTAATTTGGCTAGAGCAGGAAACGAGGGTTTGTTTTCGAGCCACCACTTCAGGACCTCATCTTGATCGGTTCTCTCAGAAAAACGTGGATGATCATTACGAACGTGCACGTAAATTCGAGATGCGACATTGAAGAGTATCATCAGCGCTCTCAAATGCAATCCAGGCGATTTTCAATTTTCCCGGGGGAATGCAAGAGCTGCGCATTTGTCAAAGGTGTTCA